ACTTCTAGTTATTATTGAAATTATTTATGTCATTTGTTGAGTAACAGCTTGTAATAAGATTAAGACTCCACTTGAATTTTATTTTACCTCCATCAGTGACAGTTCCGTGCTTTTCCCAGGACTTTAGCTCATAAATAAAAGCCATTTCCAGTTCAAAGAACTGAGAGAAGGACATTGTTTTTTAACAATTCCACTCACCTCTTTTTTTAGCCAGTCGTTTTCCCAGATCTCCCGGTAGCTGCCCTTGTCGATGAACCGCACGGCATTCTGAAAGACAATTTCGCTCTAAGGACGAGTCACCGTGGCGTTTCACAAGTTTAGCACTGATGTTGCAAGTCAACTTACCTGGTCGTTCCTTTTAAATTCTGTTTTGCAAATACTTTGGAAACACACCTAGGAACTTTTCGTTCCGCTGTTCTGGCTTTACTATCTATCCTACTGCATTGTTTTTACTGGTTTACACTGCCTACGACAGGCAACTGAGTGAACTGGACAACGGCTGTCTATTCAATTTAGTCTCTGCTGTGACCCAGTCTGACTGCCATGGTGAAATCAAATCACTAATGATCTGCTTCACAATTAAGACGGCTAAGCTGTAGTGACCAAACATTCTTCAAGTTGATGGTCAAACACATGACCCAACCTATAGTAAAAGCGCAAATAATTACATTACTAACTTTCTAATCAAAGATTTCTGCGAGTCAGTAATAACAATAGTACATATTTACAATCCTAACATATCTATCCCTAAAGTACTTTTATATGGATACCATGTTACCAATTCAATATTCAGCCACTGACGGGCACAACTGAAAGAAGAGAAATTAGGAAAAATCTTCAAGTTCATAAACATGGACAGAAATAAGTTTAACATATGTTAAGGGTAAATTTATCCCTTAGAGTTGGAAGATTTGCAATAATTTTTTTTCTTTAAACCAGGCTAATTAAAGTAAGAGTGGACCTACTAGTACATTTCCTAGGAACCAGGAACTTCTATACTTTTGCTACAACCCATTACTTCTCAAGTTTCCTCAAACACAGAATTTCATTTGGACAAAAGCAGGGAGTAGCTCATAACTGAAGTTATTTGGATAACAGA